CCACTTCAACATCATCCTAAACAGTATGACAGCTGATCTGATCCGCAGTACATTTCGGCAATGATTTAATTTCGAGGGAAATACTATTTCACATTCACAACTTGATATCCTAGAGCTGCACCGTCACAAATTTTCGGAGCAAAAAATTTAGTGGCATTCTGGAGTCCTGATAAGTGAGTTTTCATATGACAATGTTAACAGTCATATTTATTTTTACTCTAGTACGTGTTCAAATGCCACTTGCAACACAAGGAAGGAGGAAAACCATAATAAGACTCTTTCTGCCACTCAGTGCCCTCCAAACATGCAAACGTCGTTAATGCATCACTAAAAATATACTTTTGCGGGACAGAAGTCATGTTGGAGGTGCAAACAGGATGGTGGCGCCTTCACTTAACTGTGGGAATTCTTTTCACCCTCACAAGCAGACACGGGTTTGTAATGCGCGCACACACACACACACACACACACACACACACACACACACACACACACACACACACACACACACACACACACACACACACACACGCACACACGCACACACGCACACACACGCACACACACGCACGCACACACGCTCACACAGAGACTGAGACTGGAGCTGTAGAAAACTAATTTGCACCACATTGAAATGCATCTCAATTAAAAGAGAAACACATCGAGGTGCCAGGGGAGGTGAGAAGAGAGAGATGTGAGAGAACGGGCGGGAGGAACAGGGTGTGAAACAGATAGTGTGCCAGCGTATGAGAGCAAGAGGAGAAGGGGGTTAGAGCTTAACTCTTGGCAAGATGGAGAGAGGAGAGGGAAACGAAGGGGAGAGTGTGTGTGTGTGTGTGTGTGTGTGTTTGTTTTCTCTCTTGGAAAAATATCGCAGTTTGGGATGAATCTGGTTGCAAAAGGGGTTAGGAGGTCGACTAGTGAGCTAAAGTTAAGGTTAAAGTCAAAACATCCCCCTGAGGATCGTGGATGACTGAACGAGCATGAAATCCCCTGCTAATCATCGTCATCATTTCAGTCTGTCTCCCGATAAGTGCGAATGAAAGTCAAAGAAAAGAACCTTTACATTATTCATTTCACTGACAAGTTTTGGATCATTCAACTTGGTGCAAACAGTTTTTCGGAAGGCGTATTTCTGTTCCCAATGCAGAAAGCAAGGTGAATAAAGGCATGCCTGGATGAGTTTGCTGTGGCACAATGTGTGAGTCCTCTTCTTTAACCCAACCCAAAAATTTGGGATGAAGTCTCCAACTGGATTTTGCCCATAACAGGAGTACGGATGGTGCTGGAATGTGTGACGGCCTAAGCATGCATCTCAAGAACAAACAACAACTGGAGCACACACACGCTCATTCGCGCACACCGACGGGTGCAAGAGCATGAAAACACACACACACACACACACACACACACACACACACACACACACACACACACACACACACACACACACACACACACACACACACACAATCTGTCACATGGAAAAAAAAACCCAACTGATTTAGCTTTGTATGGCAAGCATTCTGCATGCAGACTGTCATGTTCTTCAGGCTGTGATGACTCTGCCAGCCTGCCATCTTCCCAGCAACACCAAACACAAGCGGCCCATTCTTTCTTTCTTTCTTTCTTTCTTTCATTCTTTCTTTCATGCTGTCAGTGCCACCGTTTGGCACTTAGCGGTTTAACCCTGTGTTTGCCTCCGCCGTGCTGAAATAACGTCACTTGGATCTTATTCAGCAGCAGATCTCACCATTACGTAATGAAGCCGCCGCTCTTGCCTCTTGTGATGTTGATGCTAATCACATCAACACCACATTGGTGACATGACGTCAGCACATCACCTTAAAATACATCATCTCATTTGCACCTGACATACCCCCCCCCCACACACACACACACACACACACACAAAAAAAAAAGAAAAAAGGGGCGGGGGCTGAAAAAGGCCGACTCACACTGACATAAAAAGATTTAAGCCATCGAAGTGAACTAAACAAAGAGCGATTGTTATGTCACCTTTACCTCACATGGATGGGAACGGAGTGGTCGACACACCACTGAAGGCCTCCATCATGATTGAACAAGGTCACTGTGACCACTGAACCGCACTTACAAAGAGATATCTGACCACTATATCAACAGATGAAAACAGGACAAAGGCAATCCATTCTGGGATGCTGTTTGACCTCTCCATTTGTTTAAAGCTGGAAACATTTTTCCCCATTGGAAATACTGAAAATGAAAATGTGACCCTGGTCCAGTGTCAAACTGTCCGGACAAAAACAACAAAAACAAAAACAAAAAAAAAAAACTTTACAATGTTTCAAGCAACAGTTTAACATTTATATTTGCCAGACAAGTGTACAATTTAGAAAATAACTGCTGTTAATATTAAGAGGGATAAAGTCAGACAGAAGTGTGTCTCCATTTTATTTAAGGCGAAATGCAAAGTCGAGCGGCATTGTCGACGTGTCTCACGCGGCGTTGTTGACACGCACGCTGGCACGACACAATTAAAAACTTTGGGTCAGCTCAAAATTTCAAGGCGACAAACGGCAATAACATTTTAAGTTTTGCAATTTACCTCAATGTTTTAAGTTTTGCTGTGGTGACATTTTGCATTCCTGCATTTTACACACACACAAAAAAAAGGTTACAGAACGTTTGTCCCATTTATGCAACCCCAACTTAAAGATAAGTAAAATCAACTTGCTCTAACGAACATTGTCGCCATGAATGTCAGGTGGGGTTGAATCATTTTTGTGAAAAAAAAAAAAAAAAAATTATTGCCATTTTTATAAGCGATATTGCGATTTCGTCTCGATTTGCGATTTTTTTGAAATCAAGCTGCAATGAAATATTCACAATGTACAGTAACATTTACAAATATGACAAAAAATAACATGGAACCCAAAATATCCAAACTATTACTCTAGTAATGCAGAGACGCAAAAGAGTTGACGTGAATTTTAACTCTTTCACGCATCCTGTAACCCGATAACATGATAAGCTGTAGTAACCGCAGTCCCTGAAAGGGTTAAAGTCATTCCAAGTTAAAAAAAAAAAAGAAAAGGTTTTCACAGTGTAGTCAGTTATACAGAAGTCTCCCATAATGAGCTGATGTTTAGTCTGATGTCATGTGTTACTTTAGGAGGACATTTTTTCTGGAAATGTTGGTCGACTTCCAAATTTGTACAACCTCAGGGGAATCCGCTGTAAGGATAAGGAGCTAGCCTTTCCTTCGCAACTCCACCTGCTTCCTCTCTTGGTAAACTTTTTTCCAAGATTTTGAAGCACATCCGCTGGAACTTTTGTCCTTTCATCCTGATTATTTGCATGCATTACCTGTTGTAGCACATCACAAAGGTATTTAATATGGGTTCTTCTACACCGAACTCATTCAACGACGCCTTTCTGAGCATTGCTTTGTGCATGGGGAAAGGTAGAGAATCTTCTTCAAACTGTTCCTACAAAGTGTGCTACAAAGTGTGCCGTTTTCCCAAAATGTCATGATACAATGAACAATATTGAGTGAAGGAAACCAAGGGAATTGTGACTGATTAAGGAAATGATTGATTAGTGTGTCCCCATACTCCAAATAGTGGAGTACTCTATCCCTGCCTATGCCAGGCTAAAATAAGCCATCCGCATAAACCTCAAGCTGGTGACAAGCATGTCACACCCCAAAGAGCCCGTCAAGCAAAGGCCCTGACAGCTAAATAATGATATAAAAGAAAAACTGCTTACATGGGGTTTCCACTTCCTGCCATACTTTTGACTTTGCATAATCTCACTCTCTTTCGACTCACTTTTTCTTGCTTCGAAGATGTGACTGAGAAGGAGCACCTCCACCAACACACACACACACGCACGCACGCACGCACACACACACACACACACACACACACACACACACACACACACACACACACATACATTTCCAGGGTACACGGTTCACAGTGATGCCCTTCACTGTACATGCACCATAAACCACATCAGCAGATTACTCTGACCATCTCTATCCTGTGTGTCTACGTTTCTGCTTGATGACTTTGCTCATGAGCCTTTAAGCGGCCCCCTGGCCTGACAAGAACCATGAGTCGCCATTAAAGTTGAGGAAGGCACCTCTTATAAGTGCAAACGGTGGCACATCACCAGCTAATCGGCTGTGGACAGCAAGTATGGCTATGTGGGAGGTGCGATGCCGGCGGATGGTGTGTGGGAGAGGAATGTTTTAGCTTGGAGGGAAGTGTGAGATCGCCATAATAGACAAGTGTAATTGATAAATAGTAGACAAGTGCCCCCCAAAATCCACAGGAAAACATGGAGTGAGCTGCCTATTAGAATGAGGTTGAAGAAAAGGGGGGTGCAAACTTTTTCCACCCAAGGTTTGCTTACAGAAAATTCAAGGTGTCAACGCCACTTTGATGGTCTTCAAATTTTAACATCCATACATACATACACACACACACACACACACACACACACACACACACACACACATATTTTATATATATATATATGGTATGTGACTGACATTGTGAGTGTAAGAGTTCCATTTTAACTGTCCAATATGGCACATATACTGTACTCCTTTGTATAATTGTAATACAGGCCTTAATTTTATGACAAAATATGTGATTTTGGACTTTGTACTCCTGTAGAATACAAGACAATGGTGATAATTGTGGAGCCAATTAACAATGGGCCCAATAAAAAAGGCAACTTCCCTGAGGCATCCCTAAAAATGTTTCTTTCATCTCCCACACTTTCCAAATGCGGGTCACTAACCAGACAACATTCAAATTATTGTGTATAAGAAAAATCAACTGGAAGTCACTTTACTGTCCAGAAAACACTTTTTGTCAATTCGTCGTCACCAGCTTGATGATTTGACTGACGCATTTTACGCGCGAGTCAAGCAGAAACACGACACGTGGACTACTTTTCCATCCAAGCCGTCCAAATAATTATTTAAAAAAAAAAAGAGTGCTCACCGGAGAGTGCCAATGCGTGAACGGTACGCGGAGAATTCCAAGGAGTTTTCCACCGTCTTTCTTTGCCTCAAGTTGAAGACAAGCAGCGCTCCCACAGTCCCGAAGCAACTGCAAAAGAGACGAGGAGGGGAGAGGTGAGAAAAAGACCTATCGCATCCTTCGGCGGTAATCACACAAGTACAAAACAATGGAAAAAAAAGAATAAAAGAAAACTGCATCCATAATTACACACGTTTAACGTGCTAATTGATATCCGCGGGGTGAGGTGGACCAGCGAAGCGGCAAGTGGACCAGGCCAGGCGGCAGCTGTCAGACTTCACTTCACACTGGAGCTGACGATGTGGACCGAGATAAGCACACCGTAAGGGAGAGCGAGCGCGTACCCGCGCGCGCGCGCGAGACACACAGAGAGAGAGAGAGAGAGAGAGAGAGAGAGAGAGAGAGAGAGGTGCAGCCAACATAAATCGCGTAAAAGTTGCTCAAGATGATAAAATATATGAATCACAAAGTAAACTATGTGCATATGTGGTGGAAGTACACTGCGGGCTGAATACATAAATTAAACCAAAAGCCATGCATCGTAATGATAGAATTGTTGATACAACTCTAATATTGGGTCTAATTATAGAGTGTGTGGAATACTCAATGTTTCAAAAGTAGGTAAAAACAACAACAACAAAAATCTCAGTATAAAGTATTAGGCCACTATTTTAGGAGCTTGAATTTGCAATACCATTTCCACATCAGAACGTGACATTTGTTTTCATGTGACATGAACATCAAAGTAAATTACAACCTCGCACACCCACCAATAGGGACACACACGTCAAGGTGGAAATTATTGTCTGTGTCATCTCAAAATGTACACAACATCATATTAATCTGCCAATCCGAATGTCGTGATGAGCATCAGGTCGGAAGTTTTGGTTGCATTTATCAATACAGATTAGTCTTTGTTCAGTATATGTCAAGACTGGACAAAACAGACAGACACAATACACATTTATGTTCATGAAGACTCGGGTAAAGAGCCATCTCTGGCGATCTGGTCCGGTCTTTGGTGTGCAACACAAAATATAAATGGAAGTGTTTTTCAATCAATAATGGAAAAATAATCTTAATGTGGGTGGTCCTCTATGATTACAGAATCAGAAAATCACACACAATATGACCAAATCTGTTTACTACCTGATTTTCTAACTTTATGTCTGTCACAGATTACGAAAAAAAAAAAAATCTTTTAAGTTTTGAAAAATTCTTATGTTTGTACTTGACCTTAAACTAATGGCAGTGGCCACTTTGTGTACTTATACTTGGCCAATAAAAATGATACGCATCATGTTTTCCAGTGGGCAGCACAATGGCAGACTGGTTATTATGTTCACCTCGTTCTGAGTTCTGAGGTGGTGTGTTCAAATCAAATCTGGGCTCTGGTCTCCCGGTGTTGGATTTTGTATGTTTTCAATGTACCTGCGTGGGTTTTTGCCCTGAACTCAGTTTTTTTTCCCCATTTCCAAAAACATGCAAGTTAGGTTAATTGGAGATGCTCAATTGTCCGTAGGTGTGAATGGTTGTTTGTTTAAACCAGTTCAAGATGTACCCCAAAGTCAGCTGGGGGAGGCACCAACACACTGTGACCCTTGTGAGGAAAGGGGAAACAAAAAATGGGTGGATGTCTCACAGTTTTAACGTCTTAAACTATTGACAAACGCTATCATGCCATGGGCTTCATATCCAAATATTTGTCAAACTGGAATGTGCCTCACCATATAGTAAACATTATTTACATTTCAAATATTTACTCAGAGAAACATGTTTGGAATCATAAATCAATCAGAAACAGATTGTGTTTAAAATTAGAGCTTCCACTGCATTCCCACTTGGCATGAGAAACAGCAAGCTGCTGAATGCCTCATATTTTGTTATATTTTTCTAGCCTTTTGATTTCATTTTTACCATACTGGAATGATCTACTAGAAGAGAAGGCATGTCCTCTATCTCCGACATCACAAGTAGTATAAATAGGTTGGACAGGAGACATAGGTTAGAAGATAAATGGCGCAAGTGAAAAAAGGTCCAAGTTCAGGGTGCGATCCAGATGTAGCTTCTTGTTTCTTTAGGAGAACTGCAGGAAGAGAAAGAGGAGGTGGAGAAATCCAAACACTGGGTCTTTTCATGTCTCACTCCTGACTCACTGGATATCTTCTCTCCACCACGCCTCTCTCTCGCTCTATCTTCAATTACCGTGTCACTCAACCTTTTATTTCATAGGTTTCCATGCTTTTTGCGACTCGATCTGCCTCCCTCTCTTTCCAGGAGCATCTCGTTCGTTTACGTGCACAACATCCTGCTCCCTATTGACAGACCACGTGGGATGAAGTGCGCGTGTGCGTGCATGCGTGTGTTCGTTTTGGCATGTGTGCAGCCCCTTTGTGCTCTCGCTGTAAATAGCCTCAGCAATTGGCCACAGCATTACGTCCAGTAGCACAATTTAATTGAATAGGAATTCTTTAGCCCTTACAAAGATAACAATGGTCATTTTTGCTTGTTTCATTTCAATTGTGTCGAGCTGCACTGATGCAGCGAGCTGGTTTTATCACGTCTGCTTGCGTGCGTGTGTTTGCGTCCATTCTCCTTCCCCTCTCTTGCGTTCACCTGTGACCTGCCGCTGATTGTCCTTTTCCAGTCGCCAGTTTGTTGTTCCTCATCTCCACATTTCCAGCATTTTTAACTCATGCCGTTGACGTTCACAAGTATTGACCGTGACAGTCTTTTTGACCATGTCTTTTTTCTTTTTTTTTTTTTAGCACTTTTAATAGCCGTGCTTTCATTGACTGCTTACCCGTGTACCAAACCCAACCAGTTATTTTTTTTAAAAGGGTGTTTTTCAAACATTTTGTCACTTTGGGTCCGATCTCTCATGACTGTTCATTAGTTTGTAGTCATCAACCTCATTCCTCCAATGAATGAAGGCAAACAAAATATTAGCGTAAACTCCAGTCACTGTCAACTCCAATTTAATGTGAAATTAAGTCAATCTCTTGGACTTTGAATGCGAGCAGAATGCCTGTTCTGTGTGACGTGAAATTTGTGATACCTTTCCTGCTTCTGTATCTGAATTTGTTATCGTGAAATCAGGATTCATATCCACCCTCAGAATTAACAGTAATCTTGTTTGGGTTTCCCAGAAATACAGACATCTGGGCAACTCATCCAGGACTTAAAGCTTGAAGCGCTCGTCCACGTACATTAGCATCCATGTGTTGTGTTCCAGCCACGTGAAAGAAACAAAGAGGGAAAGCAATGTGGAAACGACTTGTCCCTGCTATGAATGAATCAATGAGTCAACTTGGCCATTTTCAGAAGTGCTTAATCAATCACATCAGTCTGACTTCTCCTTGTGGGGGCCGTAAGGGCAGGCAGAGGAGATGTCATTACTTTGCCAATTGTGCTCAGCTTTTTTCAAGATTCTTTAATTGTCCAATGCAAAATTACTGTGGATGGAACAGCTTTGCTTTTACGTATGTCTGCATGAACCTGTCCATAGACATCGGAAGATTGAACAACATCGTATGGACCTAACAAATGTGCAGTAATTCAATTAGAAAATTATTATTCATCATATTTCGGGGACCCAAGTGTTTTGCCTTATCAAATCAAACTGTAATGGTACATTGGTATTTTACATGATAACCTCAAACAGCCAGAATTAAATAAAGGTGAAGAAAGGGAAGGAGCAAATTGGAAAGGACGTTTGCATGTTAGGTTAATGTGCTCCAATGCTGCCAAATAGTGAGCTATTAGAGCTCGCTTTCCTTTTCAGAGGAATAAATACCTCCTGCGCGTATATCGTCATAGCCGATTGGCTACCGAGCTCAGCAAAGGATCTATATGGCAGTGAACGGTAGTAGATTGCAGCCATTACATTGGAAAACAATTAATGTTGTCGGGAGGGCTGATTCTTCTTCTCTCTGTCTTAATTATCCATCCCTTGGGCTGTCATCATTAAGGCTCGCCAGTGGAACGTGTGCGGTGCTATATTTTTAACGCGACGACAAACCAGCTCAGCAGAAAAAGCACTGCATATTATTCACAGCGTGTGTCTTGGCTCTGCACCATACACTGACATAGTGGTATTATCATTTGGGCGCGCCATTTTTTTAAAATTTTTTATAACGTTCTTTCTTGACCCACCCCCACCCAACTCCCCTTTTCCCTTCCCTGTTTGTTACTCATACTTCTTGTCCTCAATAAGATATGAAGGAAAGAGTGCTTTCATTCACATTGTGTTGATGTGCTTTACAAAGTCTCTATTTCATGTGTTTGTGTAAGTTGGGCTGACTGTGCATTGTGCGTGTGTTGATTGTTTGTGTGCAGCAGGAAATTCAAAAAGTAGGCCATAGCGACCACCCAGGGGTTTGAAGACTCAGGGGGTGCAGCGGCAACATGGTTTAAATAAGGGGGGGAGAAAGTGCTTGAAACACATAAAAAAAAAAAAAAAAAAAAAAAAAAGAACACACATGCGCAATGTCATCGCTCCCATCTGATAGTGCAGATTTTCCCAGAAACACTTCATCTCACGCACATGCTAATAAATTCTTTCCGGCCTTGTTTTGTGTGTGTGTGTGTGTGTGTGTGTGTTCACGATCTTCGTCCAACTTCTGCAAGTGGCCGCTCATTTTCTTCTCGCTCACGGCTCGCCTCGCTGACAGGCCCAGAGCGATGAGCCCCACGCCTTCTCGCCATTGATCCATTTCAAAGCATAATGGATACGAATGGGATTGGCTCGGGTTGCCTTTAATTTGATCACAGAGGCGACAGTTACACTCACACAGTTGTACACGTCAGAAGTTCGAACTCATTTAATCAGTTTGGATGCTGACTGCAAATCATAGCGACCCGTAAAATGATGTCTTCCTGTAAATTGCGATTCATAATGATATATTTGTCTCTTCAGAGAAAAATACAACGTCGACTTCTAACAAAATATCCAAACAATTACAAAAACCAAAGCAGAGTGGCGTTTGGTTTGGACTAGAGCAATAACAATATCAGTATAGCTGCAGAGGCGATATGTTGACTTCCACTACATAGGAGAACCCAATGGCAGCTGGTGGAATTTTCGCCATAAGGGGGCGCCATTAAGAAATACGAATAAACATTTACAGTTCCGGTAGTTTTACGTAAATCACCCAGAAAAAGTGTTCACCAGCCATGCGATAGCTCACCATGCTGATGTTTCCCTTGGACATTTTCTAAGAATTGTTAAAAGCCGACAAAAGCAAACGTCCTTGGATCAGTTCTTTACAAAACGCCAGTCAAAAACCACAGCTGAACCACAGAGAACATGAACTAAAGAGGGCA